ACACACACGCACACACACGCTCACTCACACTGTAGACCCGAGACTGCATCTGTAGGCTATGTGGCGCTTTGACTCCACCTCTGCAGAACTGACTAGATAGAGTAGTGAAACATATATAGTATTTAATTATTTTTTAAATTCAAGCTTCTCATCAGAATTAAGCCAATCCAAATATGCCAGGCAAGATTCAACTTTTTGGTATAAAAACTAGATGTGGGATGAATGTCATTTAACTCTATCCAAAAAAAATTTAAGTTTTAAAATCTCCAGTAGATGTACTCACTAAAATCTGTTAGATCTAATCAATCAAGCACTTATATTTCTTTTATGAAATTACACTAAATGAGTAGACCTATATTCTATGTATAGATCTATGAATTTTGTAATATTTAGAATCTAACTGCACACGTGAGAATATGGGCCACCACAATGTATTATTTATTGTGAGCACCGGTCTTTTGTATAGGTCTGCTGTAAAAACTCTGTGTTACAATCTAAGTTTTTCGCACTCCTACCAAAAAATTATAATTTATTTTTGATGTTTAAAAAGATGGGTTATGAATTATTGAAAGGCTGACTTTGGTTCTTAAAATAGCATAAGTCACCTATACGTGTACCATGGGAATGCATTGTGCGCTGAGCAATTTGAACTGTGCGTACTGCCTTTGGAAATCTGCATCATGAACAATTCTAGTGCAGAATGCTGTGGCCATGCTGTTTACTGTTCAAAACCCTCCAAAATAAATAATTATTGTTCCCTCCAGGCCTGTTCCAAAGGATACAGGTCCTGTCCATGACAAAAGATCTAATAGTGTCTGCAATGTGATGTGAGAGTTTTGAAGAAGAAATTAAAAGTGGAAGAAAAAAACAACCTTGACATCAAAGAAGACAATGTCCTGCTGTAATAAATGTACTACGGAATACATGTAACAAAATTAAAGAGACAAAGAAATTACAAAGCTTACTTAATTATTATTAAGTAAGGAAGTGCTAGCTTGACCCTGTGAGGACCACCCTTGAATTTTGCAATGTCCCAAATTTATGTGCCTGACAGAGAAGTATGGACATAATATACAAAAGAATCAGCAAGAGACAATGCATACAGCAAAACAGTCTAAGAAAGAGTCACATGTACCCACTTAATTGTAAGAGCCAGTTTCAGTAAAATGCTATTAATCCATGAAAGATGCATTATACATGTTTATGTATACACACACACACACACACACACACACACACACACACACACACACACACACACACACACACACACACACACACACACACATATATATATATATATATATATATATATATATATATATATATATATATATATATATATAGGCCTCTGGTGAGTTCGATCTGTCGCTTTGTATTCCTGTTTTTATCCATGTATGCCTAGCCTAGGCTACACAAAACGAAATCTGTTTTCTATTTCTACAGTCTGTTGCCTTTTCTCACCATTGCCTATAGGCATATAGATCTAGATCTATATGCTATTGCATGCTCTCTTTCTTTCCTCTCCAACTCTTCCCTACCCACAGACCCCATGCAGGGCTACGTAACTAATTAGTAAAATAAGTAAAAATGTATTAACCTTTATTAGGCTATCTTAAATTAAACTGCTTATGTTGTAACCTAGATATCTAGATCAACGCGTGTATTTAGGCTAAGGCAGGCATGTTTTTATTATGCTGGAAACCTATAGATCTAGAATCTAGATCTAGAGTCTAGATGACTTTTTTTCTTATGTAACTACTGACACTGTCGACAAGATAATTATAGATCTCTAGAATCTAGATCTAGGTCTAGATAATCTAGATGTAGATCTAGATTCTGGATCTAGTTTTCGGTCTAGATCTAGATCTACATTATCAAGACATGTTTTGGTTTTATGCTAGATCGACATTATTTTATAACTTGGCCTAGATCTAGAATTCAATTCTAAAATCTGTTGTCCTGTTTTCAGCAACATGTGTAACCTTTTCTGTAGACCAGAAGAGAATAGAATTGTAGAAGCATTGTTTACAAATGCAACCTTGGCCAGTTCTCTGATTGCGCTAGGCCTAGGCCTCGCTAGACGCGACGCGCTTCGTTTCGATAAGGCCTAGGCCTCGCCTAGGCCTAGGCTAGACGCGACGCGCTTCGCTGTCGATACCGCGCCTGGTTATTTTTAGCTCGCGTCTCAGCGGTCACGTTCGCAAATGCACTGTTGTCACGGACCGCGAGGCCTCGTTTCCTGTCTCTATATTTTAGTGTCTCTGCACTAGAGGAGAAAGGAGATAACTCTATGCGTAGATCGAACTTACAGAGAGCGCGAGGATTCAATGACGTCATAGATGGGATTATCTATCTAATCTTTATTGACTCTAAATTTAATTCCTTCCACAGTTGGGTCAGAGCTATGTGTGAGGCATCGTGGCAAAATCAGGCGCTCATTGAAATCGCAGGTTTTGAAATTTTTATCAAATTTTTGTTTTTTGGCTCAACACCTTTCATGAGAACACATTTCTGTGTGGATTTTACTGAAAAAAGTTGATTAAAGGCAGAAAATATAAAAATGTTCAGTTTCCACGGACTCTCAAAGTCAAGTCAGGATCATGTACCTCAACTTTGACGGCCATTTTCTAGCTAATTTCACCTCTCAAACCAGGCAACCTCCACCTCCTTCAATTGCCAATTTCTTGACTTGTACCGTAGGCCTATCCAAGATAAATGGACTTTTAAAAAAATAAATCAAAAGCAGGGCAAAAGGACAGGCTAGATGATGATATCAGTAACTCCATGATAATGATATGAAAAGGACAGGCTAGATGATTTGCACCAAAATCACAGAATTCTACTTGTAAGTGTAGAATTCTGTGACCAAAATTAAGGAGCGCCTGATTCCACCGCGTCGTTACATTTTCCTCCCTTTGGTGGGAAGGGGGTTGGGGTTGTAGGTCAGAGGTTGATATCTTCAGGTCACAGAATTCTACACTAAGTGTAGAATTCTGTGCTTCAGGTGCACGTTGGAGTCTGGCGTTTGTTGAACAATTAATACAAATACATGTAACCTCCCCTCCTCCGGCCAAAAATGGTGACAAATATGGATAGATAGTTTCTTTTCTTTTATTTCAGGTTTTTAAAGTTTCCTCTCGGATCAGAGACTCTCTGCTCGGATCTAGATCCCTGTCATCACAACGAAGTCGACTTCCGGTCTCAACATAAACATGATGGCAGACGACAGTGATGATAGACGATCTAACGGCCCGAAGGTGGACGAAAGTTCTTCCAGTAGTTTTTCACTTCCAACAGAAACCAGCACATCTCAGGCTGTTCATAACCAAAGTTATAAAAATGCTAGAGAATATGCACAGGCATTACGGCCGTGGTTGTGGCACTATCAAAGCTGCTGTGCAATGCAATCGCTGGCGGCCAACTGTGCACTTCAAATGCAAACCATGTCAATGTTCTCGACTCTAAATAATAACTCCTTTTCGCCTAATGTTTCAACCTCACAGCTCAGGCATAGGATTGATCCATATGGATATCGAAGACCTCAAAACTTACAGAATGATGGGGTTCCATCGCCTCCACCCCAAAATAGTAACAGACGGCAAGACACACCTGAAATTCCAGGCCAAGGTAGGAGGGTGTTGGGCTATTTTGTAGTTTGGTTCGTTATAGTCAAGAGTAGGGGGGTTTCAATAGGGCTTGCCCCCCTGACCCATAAGGGCTTGCCCCCCTGACCCATAAAAATATGGAGGTGGGGGGGGGGGGGGGAGGGTGTCCCCTGAATTTTACCCTAATTTGATGTTTTGCTGTTAGGTTGCATAGCAATGCCCACCGAGAGCGTTTTGTTCTGCCGATTTTTGGCCTCCGCAGCGGGGGTGTTTCGTGGGACGCACTAACGCAAAGGTTGTTGTGTTCAACTCTCTCTCACGCCGCTTCTCGTGAATTGATATGAATGAAACTTGGCAGCCAATCAGAAAAGAGGTCAATCTCGTATGCAGTTTGACAACATTGTACTAGGTAGTCGCATATCGGCGGCTCGGCCGCGTTCGGGCTTCCCTGGCAGCGCGTCACATGCTCGCGGTGTTTGTTCGGCCAATCGGGAAGAAGTACCCTATTTTGAAGGGTCACGGGGCCGCTCATCTGGGCTGTTTTGCGTCATATCCGGTATTAATTTATTCAGAAAAGCGCGGAGTTCAGTCATCAGCCATCGGTCGCTTCGGGCGCTACAAACGAGGCCCCGCTTATGTGAACCGAAAGGGGGGGGAGGATACTTGAAAACTAAACGGGGGTCTTGATAACTTGCGTTTTTGTTGCATTTTAGTCACAATACAATAGATGTAGTCATTTTTATTTGCTTGATTGCATGACAGAAGAATAGAAACAGAAAAGCAAACATCTTGAGAAGTGGTATGGCATTGTGTTTGCGTTATGAAAGCCTATTCTCCCCTCTTGCGAAAGCACACATTTGGACTCGTCCTGTGTGCTCTGTTTGTAAAAGTGAGGCATTAAGATTGTTATTAAAGAGTATGGTACTTATTTAGTCCAGTCTGGGAAGATAGTCCCGTTTATACATTGTTATCGTTCACGCATGCGTGCTTGAGTGCATCTTAATCTACCACACAATAGGACACTGTCCAACAATGGATATACACAGAGACGATCTTATTTTCTATAACAAAGTATGCATGCTTTTACTAGTACAGGACTGGATTTATTAGCAGCTCTCTACTTACATTTTTGTGACAAATTAATCCAGAGCATTGCTTGGCAAGGAGGAACCTTTTATGTTGCCAAGTTTCATTCAAATATCATGACTTTGGGAGAACATAATTTGATAATCTTTGTAAATCTGTAAAGAACGCCACTTTTTTACCTGTTAATGTCTTTACAACTCAAAAGTATGACAGATATTAAAAATCTGACTGCATGACTAGATTCTGCATATTAAAAAATGTACTAGACTGCCAAGTTTCATTTACATATTCCAAGAAATAGGCGAGGTATGACAAATATTGTCTCAAAACGCACCGAAAACCGCCACATTTTTACCTATAAACGTCTTCATAACTCAAAAAATAGGACAGCTATGAAAAATCTGAAAGCAGGACTAGATTCTGCACTAGAAAATGTATTGGGTTGCCAAGTTTCTTTTAAATACTCTGAGAAATGAGCGAGTTATGACGAATATTGTCTCAAAACTCACCAAAGAACATCCCATATTTTGGTTTTTTTTCATTATATAAAAGTGTACCAGAAATTAATTGATTAAAAAATCCGTAACTTTTTTGTTTATTTATGGATTTCAAAAATTCAAAAGTTTCCATGCTCTGTGAAGATAAAGCTACAAAATGCACATATTTGCAAGGATTTTCGTGGTCATTGCTAATTTATGTACGCCATTGGCCGATATTTATAGTAACAGCCATATTGTTTGTTGTCATAAAAATAGTGTTCTTCATTCTGACAAAAGACAAAAGAAGTTCCAGACCTACTGTCTCACCGTCTGATCAGGAAAAAAAAATTGGAGTAAAAAAAGTAAGCTTTTTTTTTCATATTAGTAGAGCGTTATATGAATATGATAGGCCTAATGCTCATTATATTATGTATGTTAAAGAATAGGTCAAACAAGATGACTGTTATACTATAAATATCGGCCAATGGCGTATCTGACGTTCTCTAACTATCAATCAGCTTAGCTTATGCTGTTGGACCAATGAATACTCTGCTGTCGCATTTTGTGTATTTATTTGTGTGGTGGTCTGATGGCTAGCGACACAGATGGTTGGAGGAATACCTTGTTGTGACTTTGTCTTGGAATGTTTAGTTACAGGGGATTAAAAGAAGAGGAGAAATCCATACACACACACACTTTTCATTGTTGTGATTCTCTTGCAGGTGTCCTGATGAAAGTTCCGACATTCTGGAAGAGAGTGGCAGCTGAGCTGATTGACTTTACTCTTCTGTTCTACATCAAAATGATCGTGTCACTGTGCTTGATGACAGAGTTTAGCTTAGATCATATGTAAGTTTTGTTTTGTATTAGTTTATTTGTGTTGCTGTATTTGTATTAATTAGTGTATTTTTTGTGTTTGTGTTAGTGTGTGCACTCTGTGAGAGTAGGAACCAGTCATTCTCTTTTTATAACATCCTGAAAAATATTTCGTTTTCACCTTCTGTTTCTTGTCTTGTGCCCTTGTTCATGTTGTTCAGATTTCTGTTATTTCTCATCTACTTTAATGGCTTGTTTGTGAAGTTTTTATATATTGTGTAAATGTTTTATTAACTTTTTATCTCTGAGGAGGGTTATCCTACTACGCCGGGACCTTTTTTTTAATGCTAAATCTAAAAATGACAAAAACAAAATTAAAATGGGTCATCAAATCGAAACTAGTTAACAAGCAAACCTATTCTGATATATAGTTCTTCATCTAATGAATGAACTTCCGGTAAAAGATCTGTTTTTGGCAATTGCTGAAACGTAATTCGATGTCGAAGTCGTCATAAAGGAATGCGCCCGGGCCGCTGTGAGCGGCTCATTGGCACTGGGGTTCTAACTGCGAGTCGCTGGGAGCGGCTTGCCTGAGATAAAGAGTTAACTTACCCCCCCCCCCCCCCCGCCAAGTTGTCATAACAGCCGATGATCGGCCCTCAGGGTCGCTTTTGTGGTGCCGGGGCGGATGGCGGCTGATCTACGATATATGCTGTAGAAATAGTACCAACAATGAAAATGCAAATATGAAGGTTGACAAGGTCTACACTTGAATAGCAGTTTCTCAGAGTTTATTTTTACTGCTCGAACTGTTTTCAAGACCTAGAGTTTTCTTTTCTTTAGTCTTTTCCTGCTGAAACCTGGGGAAATTCGAGCTCTCAAAACTGTCAAATCTGCGCTTCTTTTTAGATCTAGACATCCAAACCTGACTTCCAAGATGTTTGAACCAGTCGCATGTTTCTCTAGTTTGTACACTTCGAGGAGTTTCCAGAACAAGATAGCAGCGAGCTCACATGGCCTTGTATGCAGAGATATCTGTGATTCGCTTTAAGAAATCTATTAGTTTCCTGCACGGTGGAGAAAGGTCTTTGTGGTTTTCTTCACAATCATCATTCTCCTCACTTTGATCTACAGAAAATAATTCAAACATAAGTTTGATCTAGTTCTTTTTTGGGGGTTTTTTTTTGTGCATGTTTTACGGCGCTCGCAACTGCCTAAGGTCATATTTCTTAGAGCCCTCTATCACAGATCCGGGGTTGACTCCCAACAGCACATATGATGTAAGGCCAGTTGGAATATAAGGCAACAGCACATATTGTGTAAGGCCAGTTGGAATAGAATGCAACAGCACTAGATGAGACAGAATTTCACTTGGCTTGACTTATTTTTTTTGTTATTTAATTTGTATAACAAAAGATGCAAAGTCTGTACTCCATGTTCATTGTCGTGAATTTAATTTTAGAAAATGACATGACATGAATGAAAGAGTGTAAAAATGCTGTTACATCAAAAACCCGTAGGCTATAACCTAGCGTCTGCGTTTGTCGCGGCCGCCACCCGCGAATCGCGGCTGCAATTTTTGGCTTTTTTTGGTCCTCGAATTGCGGCTGCGATTTTGGCATTTTCTGGCAAAAAACCACCGTCGGGAAGAAAAAATAATTTTTAGACAAGA